CAAATGTTTTTCAAATTAATATTAAACCGATAAAAATACACAATTCAATTGATAAAGCACACTAAAATTTGTATCAGTGCTCAAAAAAAATATTTTCTGACTTAATCTAAAAGATAAAACTGTATTGAGTTAATAAATAACAAATATTTTGAAATTTGAAATTGCGCCTTTTTGCAAAAAGGTAAAAAAAATGAAGGAACACAAAACTGTAAATAAGCGACTTATGTTAAAAATAGTTTTTGCGCTGTGTTGGTGTTTGTGTTGTGATAAAATGATACAGGCGTATATTTAATTACAACACAAGGTATCACAACGCACGACAATGCTTCACAAAGCTTTGACATGCACTGCCACAGTTAAATTAATGTGTTTTTTTAAAATACATATGTGATGTGTGTGGGGGAAGGGGAGGTTTGTGTTTTTTGTTTTTTTATTAGTTAATTTTTTTACAAATGTATTTATTTTTTAATAATTTTTTTTTACTTTTTTTTTACTGTTGGGGCTTCGGGGAAATATCAGGAGTCTAAACAGACCCCTGACATTTCTCTTTTGAAATAGAAAAAGAAATTGAGGACACAGAGTCCTCAATTTCTTTTTCTGCAGTCTCAGCACTCAATGAGTCAAAAGCACTCAGTACAGAGGCTTCCCATTCATTCAGAAACTGCTGATAGTAAAGTATTTACTATCAAGCAGTTTCTGAATGCGGAGGAGCCTCTGTACAGAGTGCTTCTCCTCATTGCGAAATCATGAATGAACAGGAAGTGATGTAAATCACATCCTGTTCATTCATACTGGGGACACATAGTAATATGTGTCCCCAGTTATTTACAAACACTGGAGTGATCAGACGATCTGTTTGTTCTGCACACGAGGATCGTTAAATATCACTGATATTTAACGATCCCCCGTTCGGCCATGCACAGAGCCGCTGTCATCCAGAAACTGACAGGATGACAGCGGCTCCGATCTCCACACCTCTCGGCCATCCTGAAAGCCGGGACGCGACATTTGGATCCCCGCTGCCACAGCCCCTACAAGCGGGGGAGAGCAGCGGGGATCCATGCCGACACAGATCCCTGCCTGGAGCAGCTTCAGGCAGGGATCAGTAGCTGAACATGCTGGCGGCCATCGGCAGTGGTGCCGGCAGGGGGGGGGGGCTTGGTGCCCAGGGCTTGTGAGCCGCTGATGACAGCTATTAATTTAACGAGGACTGTCTGGGGAACAGTTCTGTTATAAGTTCATGGTCGCTAAAGTGACCATGAGCTCCCTCGTCCTGAGGTAGCATGAAGCCGGCTTCCCGGCCAATCAGAAAGCCGGGTTCTGTGTCATTACACGGTGTCCGGCTTCCTGATTGGCCAGCTTCCCGAATCAGGAAGCCGGGCAGAGTGTAATGACGTGCTGCCCGGCTTCCTGATACAGGAAGTATCAGGCTAGGCATCGGAGAATTTGGGAGAGTACGAGTACTCGCCCAAATACTCGGTATCGGCACAGATACCGATACTAGTATCGGTGCATCCCTAGTTATAGCCCTCCCTTACTCTGTCCAAAACAAAAAAAAAGTTTTGGCTTCAGTTCTACTTAAAGCAGAATCCAAGAAAAATTAATTTTCTATATTCACTGTATATTTAATGATGTGAAAAAAACTATGATCACATAGTACGATACAACAAAACTGGTGGAGGAATTTTAAAAATAAAGACCTATGCGCTGTCACTCCTCCTCACAATGGTATAACTGGAGAGGATTAAACAAGGAAAAATGCCCATGGGATGTACTTCCACAATGCACTCATACAGTTTCACTAAACCCAGAGAATATGCATTTGTCATGTGTCATAACTCTCACAAAGCCTGCTCTCTAAACTACAACTCAAAATCTGAACAATGTGACATCATCAGTGCTTGCTGGAAGCAATCATTATGGCCCATGTAGTCCAGAGAAATGAAGATTGCAGCACATCAAGCAGCAGGGAAAGAGATGCTAAGCACACTGGGAATCCAGGAAGTAGTTGAAAGTGATGGGCAGACGGAAGGCAGCACTCACTACATAAAAGGGATTTTTGTTGTTGTTTAAGCTTTGATTGCATTATCAAAAACAACTCTAGCATGTATTCCTATGACAATTCTAATGTTATAACAGGATAGTATATGCTGGGACTTTAAAACTCCTTTAACACAGACATTGCATGAAAGGCAAATTATGCTAATCTTGACCCTTCCCCCTATAAAAAATAAGTGAAAGCAAGAAAACAAAACCTTTGGAAGCAAAATGTAAAAAATACACAGCTTACACCCAGGCTTGCTGGTGTAAATCCACCCTTAAAATTATCTATTGCTCCAATTGTGTCTGTTCTGTCCTTAGACAGTCAGTATTGTCCATGCTATATGTTTTCCATTAGAAATTGAAGAAAGTGAATAAGGAGATGACACAACCTGACCCTTGTTCTGGCTAGAGGGGACTTAAAGCTGAACTCTGAGCACAACATTTGTAATTTAAAGATATTCTTCAATAGCAACAAAAAATATAAGTCCACTTTGTGTGCGCCAAATGTCTTTGCACACCCTGTTCTTACCTTGTAGCAGTGATATGAGCACTGTGCTGTACATAGCCTTTGCAGAGAGCAGAGCTGTAGGAGAGACCCAGCGGACTCCACCCACTACAGGCTGCCTGCACATAACTACAGTAGAGGGCGGATACCAAAAGACCAGTCACCCTGCACAGGGAGAGAGAGGAGCAGTCACTGGTCTTTATTACAGAAAGCTCCTGCCCAGAGGTAAGGTATCACACTGGATTACTGCACATATCTGGAACAAATACACATACTACACCAAGATTCAAGCAGGAATACACATGCCTCTGTTATTTAGACAATATTTGCTCATACTGGAACTCAGCTTTAAAGTGAACTGCTGTTCCGATAGTGTCTGTTTTAGCTTTATAGAGTCAGTATAGTTCATGCTACATGTTTTTCATTAGCAATTGAAGAATGTGGATTATGAGCTAGTGACACAACCTGACCCTTGTCTTAGCTGTACAAGACCGAAGCAAAGCAGATCTACACAGCTTGTGAGGAACAATCTAGCCATTGTCCAGGCTGTAGGAGACTGAAGCAAAACAAGTCCAGGGAGCATGTGATGAACAACCTAGACTTTGTTCTGGCTGTAGGAGACTGAAGCACAGCAGGTCTAGGGAGCTTGTGTTGAACAACCTAGACCTTGAACTGGCTGTAGGAGACTGAAGCACAGTAGGTCTAGTGAGCTTGTGAGGAACATTCTAGTCCTTGTCCACGCTGTAGGCGACTGAAGCAAAGCAGGTCTAGAGAGCTTGTAATGAACAACCTAACACTTGTCCAGGTTGTAGGAGACTAAAGCAAATCAGGTCTAGGGAGCTTGTGCTAAACAGCTTGATCCTTGTCCAGGCTGTAGGAGGCTGAAGCAAAGCACTTCTAGAGAGCTTGTAAGGGACAACCTAACACTTGTCCAGGCTGTAGGAGACTAAACGAAAGCACGTGTGGAGAGCTTGTGATTAACAACCTACACCTTGTTCAGGATGTGGAAGACTGAAGCAAATCAGATCTAGGGAGCTTGTGAACATCTTAGCCCTTGTCCAGGCTGTAGGAGACTGAAGCAAAGCAGATCTAGTGAGCTTGTGAACACCCTAGCCCTTGTCCAGGCTGTAGGAGGCTGAAGCAAAGCAGGTCTTGAGAGCTTGTAATGAACAACCTAAAACTTGTCCAGGCTGTAGGAGAGTGAAGCAAAGCAGGTCTAGGGAGCTTGTGAACATCCTAGCCCTTGTCCTGGCTGTAGGAGACTAAACAAAAGCAGGTGTAGAGAGCTTGTGATTAACAACCTAGACCTTGTTCAGAATGTGGAAGACTGAAGCAAAGCAGATCTAGGGAGCCTGTGAACATCTGGCTGTAGGAGACTGAAGTAAAGCAGGTGTAGGGAGCTTTGATGAACAACATAAACCATGTTCTGGCTGTAGGAAACTGAAGCACAGCAGGTCTAGAGAGCTTGTGATGAACAACCTAGACCTTGTTCTGGTTATAGACTAAAGCAAAGCAGGTCTAGGCAGCTTGTGATGAACAACCTAGCCCCTGTTCTGTCTGTGTCTCAGCAGGTGTCTCAAAAACGGCAAAACCGGCACACAATGCTCTTCCAAAAAAAAATAAAAAATCCACATGCATCTGGAATAAAATGTGATTTACTTTGGAAGAGTATTGTGTACCAGTTTTGCAGATTTTGAGACAATTACTCCAGAAGAGGCTTATCAGTGCACTAAATGTGTATTACAAGGATGCATGAGATGCGTCAGCTTTGCGCTTTGTGTTTTTAGTCCTGAAGCAAAACAGGTCTAGGGAGCCTGTGATGAACAACCTAGCCCTTGTTCTGACTAAGAGATTGAAGAAAAGAAGGTCCAGGGAGCTTGTGAGGAACAACCTAGCCCTTGTCCAGGCTGTAGGAGACTGAAGCAAATCAGGTCTAGGGAGCTTGTGAGGAACAACCTAGCCCTTGTTCTGGCTGTAGGAGACTGAAGCAAATCAGGTCTAGGGAGCTTGTGAGGAATAACCTAGCCCTTGTTCTGGCTCTAGGAGACTGAAGCAAAGCAGGTCTAGGGAGCTTGTGAGGAACAACCTAGCCCTTGTTCTGGCTGTAGGAGACTGAAGCAAAGCAGGTCTAGGGAGCTTGTGAGGAACAACCTAGCCCCTGTTCTGGCTGTAGGAGACTGAAGCAAATCAGGTCTAGGGAGCTTGTGAGGAATAACCTAGCCCTTGTTCTGGCTCTAGGAGACTGAAGCAAGCAGGTCTGGGGAGCTTGTGAGGATTACCTATATTTCCTGTATAGTGACTCTGAGGAATAGAGTATATTGAGGTTGGACGTGATGATAGGAGGAGTGGTGGGAGGGGGGAAGAAAGGACCTGGCAGCCAGTGATCGGCAGCTTGTGGTTGGCTGCAGATTTCCTGGTACCTTGAGAGTGAATAGTGAAGGGAGGAGGAGGGGAAGAGAGTGCAGTAACAGCAGTGGCAGTAGCAGGATTATAGCGTGTAAGCACATCTGCTGCCTGTGCTGGAATATGGTGCATCTACTGTATGACAGGACTGCTGCACATCTCCACTGATCCTCCGCTGATACCTCCGGAGCTGTCCTTTTACTGCAGTGCTGAACGTCCTGAGTCATGCCCGACACGTGCTGGATATAAAACCTTGGCTTGGCACAGTGGATTATGATTTATTCTGCCCGGACACTTATTATACAGGTAAAGTACCTGCCTCCTGACTGTCTTCTCCTTTGTTAGGCCCTATGCTGTTATTTTTTAACCCTATAGCTGCCACCATTGTGTGCCTCTCTCCAGCTATAGGAGTGGATGTGTTTGACTTTCCAGTGGCCCTTCCTGAAAGCGCATGTTCTATAGATCGCTATCTTGCTCTCTCATATAAGGTCTGCAGGGATTTTCAAAGCGATGCGACGGTAGATTGGTTACCAGTGGGGGCCTCTGTGTTACCAATGCATTGCCTTTATCAATGCACAATGCGGATCTCACTACCTGGTGCTATGCTGCCATCTCATTGCAGTGAGAATTGGAAGTCTGTGCCTTGGCTGGAATGATTTACACCGATTGAAACTGACTTAGCCCCTAGGTGCACCCCCTCCCCCTTTCCCTTAGGATGGGTGGCTGTATATATTAGCACAAGCTGTATTGCTGCTGGCAGAATGGCCTGGCTATACATCGGGAAAGGTTCCATATGGGTGGCTTTGGCTTTAAACAAAGAAGAGCTCAGTGCAGCCTTTTTAGTGACAGCTGTGAGCTCTGTCTTAGCATGTGACACTCACTACACACGATCCTCCAGCTGCCTTTGCTAGGTTTAGTTGTCTGATAGTGATGATGTATTATTTTATGTTACATATTATTGGGATTGGTCGTGTGACTATGCTGAAACCTTTAAAGCCCTAGTCATATGCACAGTTTTGTAATATAATGGTGATGATGTATAGTAAACCCAACGTAGGGATGTTTGATGTGCAGCAGGGTGTCATTGCTGGCTGGTATGCTATAAATGTGCCATTGCAGGGTCTATGAATTAGCTTTGGTGCTCTGATTGAATTCATGGAGGTAAATGGGAATCAGCACTGGACAGTTCCTCTACTATACAGCATGCTATCCATATGACAAAATACATTGCAACCTTGTCAGTAATGTTGGGGGTGGGGGGGGGCTTGCTGTCTGCTGTTGTATGCTTCGCTGACATAGGCTGGATTAGTGAGGTAAGGCTTGTTGATGGTTGATTCTTGTTTATTAAATCATATATCGCAGAGGGCTTTCACGCACAAGCATCATGCAGTGAGAATGATACAGAAATCTGCATTGAACCAAAGCTTGTTCTTCAAAGACTCTAAGACAGCTGCATGATGCTGACATCTCTACAGATCTGCTCTTAGTACTGAGTACACTAGCAATGTAGCTATTTTTGTGTGTGTTTTGGCAATCCACTACATGTATGGCCAGCATCTGCATTGTACATGTTACATTTTCATTGATGAGAAGAAAACACTTACAGGTGCCAGGCAAAGGGGCCTTACAAGGTCAGGCTCTAAAACTGTGTTTGGGAAGCCATTACTTTTCTTAAAATAAAAATGAAAATCTAGTAGGTAGCAAATGGGTTGCCGTGAGCGATCATGGGGTTGCCGTTGCTGAGCTCCTTCCGAAACTGCTGGTTGCCTGGCTGTTACACTGACCTAATAGTATCAATACTTTCACAGGGGTTGATTTACTAAAGGCAAATAGGCTGTTCACTTTGCAAGGGAATTTTCACTTAGCATAGTGAATGTGGTGGAACATTCACTTTGCAAGAAATACCCAATAACATGCATGAAAATAAAAGAAAAACAGTATTTTTGCTTGCACTTGATTGGACAATGGAAGTCAGCAGAACTTCACCTAATTCAGTAAGCTAATGGAAAATTCCCTTGCAAAGTGAACAGCTTATTAGCCTTTAGTAAATCAATCCCACGGACTTAAAACTTGCATGTTGATCAGTGAAAGTCAGAGAAAAGCCAAACATCCTTATTTAGTGGTTCCAGGTCAGATACACAAAGTATTGAAGCCAGAGGGTCAACATAACAGCTGGGCTATATGCATGTTTAGAAGGAGAAGTCAGCATTGGGATCAAACATACAGTATTTTTCAATTAGAATTTCATTTACAACAGGGTGCACGTTTAATTTGAGATTTGTGGGTCCATGTGTTTTTTGAACACCAAGTGAGGTTAAGAGGGGATTAAAAAATAGACATTTGTCTATGATCTGGGTATTAGAAGAAAACACATGATTAGTGATATACTTTGGACAAACCATTTGCACACTTGAATGAGATGTTGCTAAGGGGCACAAGTCGTATGTGAGCTCTGTGTAGTTTCAGACATCCAATCAAGTTTAAAATCCATTGAAAAATGGAAATTTCTCTAACCTGGTTGGATGCCAGAGGGAAATACAATTCATTAGTTTGCATAAACGTGTGCAGTCCTCTAATATTCTCATTCATTGATTTTGCTTCTATGTGTATGAATCTGTATCTACTAGTGAGATTTCACTTACTACATATCTAATAAACAGTTATACAGGTTTCCATTCGTTTTGAAGCAGAGGCTCATTTGCACTTAGACTTTATTGTGTTGCGTGAGGGTGTGAAGTGAGATGTTGCTTGCTAAAGTAATTTATAGAATTGTCAGAGATTAAAATCTCTAAATTTGTTACTTTACCGGTGAAAATAAGAGCCTCCCCGGGCCGACATCTGTGTCCATTCATTACTATCTGACTCAGGGTGGGTCTCAGACCACGGGCTAATAGTACTCCAATTAGTAGATGTAATTCTGGCATTCTTTTCAGGATGTCCCTAGCAGGTGGCCAGCGCTTATCTGTGATTATAACTGGATTGCAGTTGTTACTGCCGAGATCTCATTTAAAACTTTGACTTCTCCAGTAGGACTCTTATTCTGTGTTTTAAATGTTCAGCAGGAAACAGCTGATCAGTCACATTTTTTCACACACTGATGTATCTTTATTCTAGTGTGAATTTGTAACTGTCTTCACAGTACATATATTCATACAGCCAGAGGAGGAATATTTAACTGAATAAGCTGTCTTTCTTCACATTATTGTAACAAAAAACAACTTGTACACAGTTTTGAAATGAATAATTTTATTTTTGAGACTAGAATAACCATGATTGATAATTAACTGAGGAAGCTTTGGAATGAATGTATTCGTTGAGCAGAATCAGCTTTCAAAGCATGAACCTTAACCAAGCAACATTAAATGGGGTAGACATTTTACATCTAAATGGCTAGTTTTCCTTTTTCCTATTTTCCTGCTAACTTGATCAAATCAAGTAGCTTACAAATAACAATAGGCCTTCCATAGAAAAATGGCAGAAGAAGAAAGCCGATGATGTCATCCACAGAAGCCAATAAGACATTAGTTTTATTTTTTTTAACCTGCATAAGGAAACAGCAGATTATTTCTGTTAAAATGACACTGAACTCAGATCTGTAGGTCTTCAAATCATCTCTGAATTCATGCTGACACTGTCCTTCCTTCTGGAGGGTGGCTACTTTTGTTCCCCATGGTCCCTATGTGTGTTGTAAAGTAGCCACCGCTCCAAGCTCACTCTCGTGATGGACTGCAATCTCATGTTTAGTTTACTAATTTTAGTTTACTAATTTTAATCTCATGTTTAGTTTGTATTGAGATTGTAATCCATCATGGGAGTGATCTTGGCACCGTGGCTACTTTACAACACACACAGGAACCATGGGGAACAAAAGTAGCCACCCTCCAGAAGGAAAGACAGTGTCAGCATGAATTCAGAGATGATTTGAGACTCTACAGCTGAGTGATACACAGATAAGGTACATTTTTTTTAATAGTTAAGGGACTTGAATGCATTTTCAAGATTAACTCCTCAGTTTTGTGTCACTTTAATTGTTATAGGTAAAGCCTTCTGTAACCCTGTATCCAACGCAGATATTCAAAATGATAAATGCGCAAAATATTTATTAGATATTTTATTGAGTGCTTTTCATACCGGATAGAATTTTTAATATATGAGTATTTTCCTGAGTATAAATTCTGAGCCTGGAGTACTGTTTTCTTAATTTTTTGGCATGTGAGCCACACTGTCAATAAATGTTTTTCTCTGCTGAATATTTGCTTCTAAACAATGCTTGTGGATGGGGGTATGAGGAATTCCCTTGGTAATCTGAAATGGCTAAAAGGGGTCATAACTACAAAAACGTCATGTCAAAGAGGAGTTGCATTATTCACTGTAGTCACAAAATTTACAAATCATTATTGTTTATCCAAACAGTGCATCCACAAACAGATTTTGCCTTGACAGATTTGTACTTAATTGAGCATTTTCCTTCAAGCAACCAATGTGTGCAGAGTAAACCCCTATCTGTCCCCAGTTGTGCAGCTTTCCTTTATATGACTGGAGTGATGAGTTTACTGAGCCAAGTGGAAACAAATATTGTTTGTTAAATACTTCTATATTTTGATAGGTGATTGCTAAAAATATAAAGATCAGAGGAAACAAGCTTTAATATTTTACGAAAGCTGTCTTTTAATTGGCCTATAGACCTGAACGTTTATTGATGAATTAGGCTTGAGATAACATTTTAAAATGTTATGTTATAAGGTGCCCATACACTGGTCGAATTTCGGCCGGTTTTTAATGTACCCGCCGATATTTGCACAGTGTGTGGGGCTGTCGGCTCCCTTTTAGCCAGCATTTCTCAATCAGCTAAGCAAAGCTCTGATCGGGTATTCTGACTGGTGCCAGCGGCACCTGTCAGAATACAATGTAAGCAGCAGAGTTCCTTGATCGACACGCTGTTTGTGTTGATGGAGGAATCGGGTCAATTTTTTCCGTTCACCCCACAGGTTGAATGAAAAAAATTGATAGGTGTATGGCCTGGTTTACACTTTCAACACTGGAAGTGCTTGCTACATCAGAGATTGTCGGCTTCTTCTTCTTGAGCAAGTCGTAGGTGCTCGCGGTATACTGAGCCTAGGGTGACGGGAGGACGCTAGTTTGTGTCATCCTGTTACCCTAAGGAGAACTATGGGGATAAGCCTTAACCCCATAGTTCTCCTTTAATTGTTAAGTTACTTGAATGCACTTTTAAGGTTTAACTCCTGAATTTAGTGTCACTTTAATTTTTTTTTTTGATGACCACTGTCACTAAGAGTGAAGTGGAA